CACTGAACATGAGTAAAAATGCATAAAGTAATGAGACAAGTCAGTAGAAACAAGGCATTTGTAATTCATAATTACAAGATCAACAATCAAAGCATTGCACCTATCATTACGAATGAGAACCAGACAATGCCCACTCAGTTTCGATAGAAAAAGAGGAATGAGGACTAACATGAGAATTTAGGAAGAGAGGGGTTGACTTAGAAGCAAGAGATTGAAAGAATAGAATTAGTAGATCATATCCCTTAGCATGTTTTTTTTCTCAGAATCTTTCTTAAAGTTCAGCATGCTTTGCTACCCATGCTTCATGTGGAACCTTCAAGGCTGCCAGTTTTTTTTTCAACTTGGTCCCTCTAATAGTGTTGTTTCAGAAGCTAAGCCTTTAGGTAAACCGTTTCAGTATCCCTGTTAACAAAAGCAACTGTCATAGCTTCCAACACTAGCCTGAGTTTCTCATAACAGAAAGATTAGTAAAATCAAACTTACTCCAGGCCTTTGAGAAGAATAGATTAATAATTGAGGAACCAAAAAGGAAAATTTCATTTCAAACATTTTTTTTTCATTATTATTATTATTATTTAAACAGACACCCTCATTTTCAAAATACTTTGAGTTCTCTTAATATCAACTTCTCCCATTTGAAAATCATATTTTCCACTTCTTCCTTTTGATTGGTGGACCTGGTCCCTCTTCATACTTAAAAACATCTTCATCATAAAATTCTCCAGTAAGAACAAAGAGTTTAACAATTTGAAGTGTTTTTGAGAGAGGAGAATAAAGAGTTTCAAAAAACTCTGATATTTGGAAGGAAAATTGAATTTTCTGGGGAGATGGAAAGAAATATGGAATATAAAGGAAATGAAACGGGTGTATCATGTGAAAGGTGTCATTGGTATTCAAAAGATGGGGCAGTGGTCAGATACCTGAAGGACAGACATGTGGCAATTTCAACAGTTCTTATGCATAATTCAAAATGCAACGTTAAGAGTGCTAACCTTCGAGAATGAACCAGGTCCCTCTCTGTAGTTTGAATGTGATTGCCTAGAGCTGTCCTGACTTCTCCTTTCCTTCTACCCTTTCTCCATGTGTGTATACCTACAAAAGGTATGAAACTGAATTTGCTAAAACATACCTAACTGAAAAGCAAAGATACCTGCTCCCTTTGCATAGTCATGAGAGGATTGATTGCTTCAGGCATGTTCCGTTCAATAAGGTTTCAGCATTGCCAACTTCAGTTTGATTATCTTAGCCAAGTCTTCTAAGAGCTCCAACATACTGCTTGATCAACAAGATTGAGCACATCAAGCTGCACTTGCTACATTCTCTGCCTCAGTTGTTGAAAGAGCAAATGAATCTTGCCTTTTCGTTCCCCATGAGTGAGAGATCAACCAATAACATAATACACTCCTGAGGTACTCTTTCCATTAACTCGATACCTAGCATAATCAATATCACATGTTCCTCCAGATCAAAAAGGCTCTTGGTGGACAGAATAGAACCATGTCCTTGTTTTCTTTAAGTGTCTTTGGATTCTCTTAGCAGCCCTCAAATGTGATTCCTTTGTACAAGAATGGAGTCTCTGAACCAGGTTCATCAGCATCCAGCATCAAGTTAGTGCCCATGAGAGTATGAATTGTCTAGGCATCCATAACATGAACTTTTTCAGATGCTTCTCTAAACCAGTACAGGTCCCTGTCTTTGGTCAGACATCAATTTCCCTGAACGCTGTGCTATCTTCTTCCCTGTAGCTAAGTCCATATGAGTGTATACAACTGGTGCTTTCTTAGGGCTTTGGTGAAGATGTCATCCACTTGATCTTTTATTTTGCAAAACTTCATGATGGCATTATCCCTCTTTATCATTGTCTTGACTTCAAGTACGTTAAGTTATTTGAGCAACTCATTGACGTACTTTTCTGGACAACCGAGGGTACCTTTAGAGGTTTACTGAATCTATAGCTCTAAGAAGAAATTTAATTCTTCCATTTTGCTCACTTCAAAACTCATTATTCATGAGTGTTGCAAACTCTTCGCACAACACCTCAAAGGTTGCTTCAAAGATGACATCATCAATATGTACTTGAATAATCAACAATTTCTTTCCTTGTGATTTCAAAAGAGGTTTTGTCAATTTTACCTCTTTTGAAGCCATTGTTGAGGAGGAATTTGGATAACCTATCAGCTTGTTGGGGAACCGAGTGTCATACTTTGCTTCTTTCAAACTGAGCTTGATCAACTTCTTCATTCTCACTTTCAGAATTCACATTATCAGTTTGAAATGCACCATATTTGTTCAGCACTGTCTAACGGACCAGGTACCTTATCATGTTCATCATCTGCATCAGCTTCTTTGAGATTACTGTATTCATGAAGAGGATGTTCTTCAACAAGCTCACTATTAAAACTGTCTTTCTGAATCATAAGCAATCCTTCCATTTCACAATCTTCTTTCTTTTGCAACTTCTCAACTCTTCCAGACTCATCAAAAAATCACATGACCACCTTTTTATACAACCGATAAGCCTTGCTGGCAAAAGAGTATACCGCAACTATTCTTTCATCAATATTGAGATCAAACTTCTCAATATCATCCTTTTGGTCACAAAACATGTAGTGTTCACCACTTCAGCCCGAAAGTTCTTTGAAATATTAAAATCTTGCATATTCCACCTGAATGATGGTCTGATTTGCTTCTCTTCAACACCATCGTAACAACCTTTGTCATCTGCAAATTTCATTTTGAGCAGACCGAGGACCAAGTCCTTTGACAAAAGTTTGTGCAGTAGAGAAACACTCACATGAGCACGTCTCTCGTGTCATACCTCAGCATTCTTACCTTGAGCACTAAGGCAAGTTAGACAGTCACCACGAGCAGTATTCAGATCCGCAATATACATGTTCTTGCATCTCTTTTCTGTCCAGATCATCACCCGAGAGAGCAAGTTTGTGACACCACATTTATCTGATAAGAGCTTAACTTTATTTCATTTATCACAAATCTGTGAAACATTTAAAAGATTGTACTTCAACCATTGACATAGTACACAATTTAAAAAGAGTGTTTCACATACTTTCAAGTCCTACCTACACCAAGAACGTACCATTTCTTGCCATTTGCCAAAAGAGACACCTCCACCTTTAAGTTCCTTGAGAGAGAGGAAGTTTTGTAGCCTTCTTAGTCATGTGCTTTGAGTATCCACTATTCATGAACCAACACTGACTGTTACTACTTCCTCTCACTTGCAAATCAAATCATTGTTAGCCTTGGGAACCCATTTGATACGGAGTTCCCAATAAGCAGATAACAGAGTGATAAGAAAATCTTTTGTTTAGTGAGGCATACTGCTTTTCTTCAACTTAGGACCATAAGAAGGACCAGGTCCCTTCTTCAGTCTATTCCGCTTTTTGGAATAGTTTAACGAACTTCCTCCATACTTTTTCAACACAGGACAATCTCTCTTAAGACTTCCATCTCGACCACAATGCACACACAACAAATCATCAGTATCAGAAACAAATTTGATGTGAGGATTGTATTGGGGAAAGATCTTTTCGCAGCCCAGCCCTCTTTTACTATTGTTTCCTTGACCAAGTAGATTTGTAAGTATCTTAGAGGAATTGGTCCATTTGAAGGATTTTTCAAGTTCCTCTTTTACACGGACCAGGTCCCTCTCCAACTCAAGATTGCTTTCTAAAGCCAATTCCATCTTCATTTCAACAGTATGCAACTTATTTTCAAGCTCCAGCTGCAAGCTGCTTGCCTCGTTCTTTCCTTTAGAAACGGTATTACTTACCCCTTTCATCTTTTCTTTCAGTTCTAGATTTTGAGCTTCTAGAACAACCATTTGATATTCAATATCAGATATTTAGTTAACTAAAGCAATGTTTCCATCTTGAGAGATGTCTAGACTATTGTTCACGAGATCATTCTCGGTTGTTAGCTCACTTATCAAATCAAGTAGTACAACAACTAGCTTTCTCAATTTACTGGTAGACAAAGTATTCAAGTTTTGTGTGAAATATGATAGAGTTACCTTTTCATCATCATGTTCCTCATCTGATTTTGCCATGAGGGCATCATTAGAGTGTTCAGAATCATCTGAATCACTTGAGGAATTTTCCCATTCTGCCATGCCTGGAAAAAAGGTCTCTTTTCTTCTTAGCTTGTCACGGACCTGGTCCCCCTCTTTTTCTTCACTCTTGAGACTTAGACCCTTCCCTTTTCTGTGCATCTCATGATCTTGAAGATGCTCAAATAGTGTACACAATGTCACTACTTCAAGCTCTCTTGTCTCATTGTTGATCACAAGGTCATTTGTCCAAGATCTGGGAAGAATTTCCAGTATCTTGGAGACTTTCTTGCACATGGGCATTGGTTTTTCAAGGAGCATGAACTCGTCTGTAACGATGGAGAATCTTGTGCGCATTTCATGAACAAATTCACTTTCTTTCATGGTGAAACTTTCGAACTAAGCAGTAAAGAAATCTAGCTTAGATTTCCTTGTTTCCTCAGTGTCATCATAGGTAGCTCTCAGCATATCCCATATTTCTTTGGTTGATTCGTATGATGAGATCATATTGTATTCGTTCATTCCAATGCCGCACATCAGCAATTTCTTGGCTTTATAATTTTTCTGGACAACTTTTTTGTCGGAGTCAGTATATTGTAGATGAGTTTTAATAAAGACTCTAGTGATCTCTCCATCCTTAATCTCAATGGTTGGCACGTAAGGACCTTCCTGTATGACGTCCCATACCTCAACGTCCTTAGCTATGAGATAGTCTCTCATTCGAATCCTCCAGTGTCTATAGAATTGACCCTTAAAAAGAGGAGGCCTTGCAGGGGACTGACTTCTCTGCCTGTTTAGTGGTGCATCCATTCCTTCAGGATCTTTTCTTTTCTTGGTGTTAACCAGATAGAAAAGTCAAGCTCGGATACCACTTGTTGGAATGTATGCGTCCACTATCAGTCAAGGACCAGGTCCCTTGACTCAGCAAAAACAGTAACTAAAAATATGCAGAAAATAAACAATTGGAAGTAAGATTTGCATAAGTGTTTTACGTGAAAACCTCCTTGCTCAAGGGAGTAAAACCACGACCTGTCTCACAGGACTTTTCAAACTGCCTTCACTATTCTTCACAAGCAAAAGTAAAACGCAGTTTACAACTTGAGATTAACCTGCTAATCTTCACACTAAGTAATATCACCTATTACTCAACCGAGCCCAAGAAGATATAACACTACTCACTATACTAACCCTCACTGATTAATTAGACTTTTGACCGTAAGACACAAAGTTACCCCTAACTATGTTCTTACAAGACTCAAACAAAGTTTTGAAGCGTTTCTAACAAGAGTGAAACAAATCCTACAAGTTAAGTACAAATACAAATACTCGAGAACAACAGCTGGTACAGAAAGCACTCTTTCTATTAATTAGGTCTTTGTTATATGTGTTCTTGTGCTTGAGTTCTTTCTTGAAGATGGCTTTCTTCTTTTTTAGCTTGTGAGTTTTTAGCTTGCCAAATCTTGAGTTTGTGTTTTGTTGGAAGAGACTATATTAAAATGAACACAAACTCCTTGGGACCGCCCATTGGCTGAGAGCCTGCCTTCTCTGTAAAGACGTGCACCTATCACATTAGAAGTGACAGCTTTACAGTTGTTATGTCATCATTTCACGTATGCAGTCTTGCAGGGACCAGGTCCCTTACAGACTTTTCTTAATAAGTTTTTGATAAGACATGTTGGCTCTCTCTCCTTTTGAATGAATGAATTAATTTGTTGTTTGTCATGTTAACTAAGTCAACCATAAGGAGTTATTGACCGTTGGACAGCAAACTCATCGATTCTGATTGGTATAGTACACTGACGACCTCACCAACTTCTAAGGCGACAACTTTCCAGTTGTACCCCATTATAGATCTGGACAAGAGAACACAACCAGGGACCAAGTCCCTACATTTGTGAGACACTGAAACAGATAGTCTCGTCCGCTCTTCTTGTTGGTGCAGTACACTGCGCTCACTGCGCTTTTCACCTACCACCTGACATGACAACTTTATAGTTGTACCCCATTTGAATCTAGACGAGAGCACTCTGCCAGGGACCAGGTCCGCATTTGTGAGGATCATCAAAACACCTAGAATATAACAACTCCTTTGTCAATTTCTAATAATCATCTGCCTCTGCTTTCTCTTCCACCTCTAAACCCCACAAAAATATTACAAAATAATTTAATAAATCATTTTCATTACAAAAAGTAGCAGTAAATCACACAAATTACTAAAAATCTATTAGCAACAATTGTTGCTCCTGCTAATGGAACTAATGGCTTCATAGCCAAACTCCTTCGAGTAAAATACACTGCTTTTAATGGAATTCGAGACCGATCCATTGGTTGAGTGATACCCATTTGTGAAACTACAAAAAAAATATCAGCAAATTAGACCAAAAAATGAAACCTAGATGATAAATTTCTCTGATCTTCATCACATTAACACTTTTAAGGGTAAAAATTGAAACTTTAGGAACCCAAACAAAGAAATAACAAACCTAGATGTTAAAATTCTCTGATCTTTATCACATTTACTATTTTAAGTGCAAAAACTAAAAATTTGAGAACCAAAGCAAAAAAAAAAAAGGAAGAAAGTTTGTACTTGTGAGAGCAAAAGTCAGGCAAAGACCGAGAGAGGCGATACATTATTATTCCATAACTTATTAAATAAGTATGAATGGTGTTAAGACTCTCCTGCAGATCTGGTCCGTTCAGACCTTTTCAGGTTCATTAAGAGGCTTTTTGAAAAAAAGAAACAAATGGACTTAATGCATTGAATTTGAATCATTCAGATTCACCTAAAAACCAAACACACTTAATGGGCTGAATCTGAATGATTAAGATTTAGACCTCCATTAAGTGCGAACAAATGATCAGGCCTTAGTTGATGAGGCAATATATTGAAGCTTAATTAATAATTGGATGTTTGATGTATTTTATAGCAAAAAGACATGTTATTTTATTTCTTGCGAGTATTTTGTCCTAATTTTTTAAATAGTGCTAATGAGTTGCACATGATGACTTTCAAAAGGTGGTTAGGTATATTAAAAAAACTCTAACTAACATATAGCATCAAAATTAGGAAAAGTGTTATAAAATAAAGACTAAGGACTAAAATTAAACTAATAACAACCAAGAAAGGAAGAATATAGTAGAGAGATAAAATAGGAAACGTTGTATCTTTCTTATTTTCTGTGTTTTTCCATACAAGTTACAATGCCTTTTATAGGCATAAAAAAGGTATAATGGACATTCATTAATCCATTTACAACACTCCCCCTTGGATGTCCATGTAAAATAAAATTCTTAGTATAGTAACAAGTATAAATAGTTGTTACTAATACACATTACTTTGCTGCCTCATTAAAAACCTTATCAGGAAAACCCAGTGGGATAAAATCTTGATTAAGGAAAAGAGAGTACAACACGTATTTTACTCCCCCGATGAAAACCACGATTCAGTTGTCCAAGTTTTCTCATTTCAATCATGTATACCATCTTCTCGAAAGTTGCAGTTGGCAAAGACTTGGTGAATAAATCAGCCACATTATCACTTGAACGAATCTGATGTACATTGATATCACCATTCTTCTGGAGCTCATGTGTGTAGAAAAACTTCAGTGAAATGTGTTTCGTTCTATCTCCTTTTATGAATCCTCCCCTGAGTTGTGTTGTGCATGCTGCATTATCCTCATATAAAATTGTGGGTACTTTGTCACATTTCAAACCATATTTTTCTCGAATAAGGTGTATTATGGACCTTAACCACACACATTCTCGGCTCGCTTCATGAATAGCTATTATCTCAGCATGATTTGATGAAGTGGCCACAATAGACTGTTTCGTAGATCTCCAAGATATGGCAGTACCCCCACATGTGAATACGTAACCTGTTTGAGATCTAGTTTTTTGTGGGTCAGATAAATATCCTGCATCAACATAACCAACAAGGTCTGGACTGCAATTGTTAGAATAGAATAAGCACATATCGATAGTCCCCTTTAGATATCGCAATATGTGTTTGATTTAATTCGAATGTCTCCTAGTAGGAGCAGAACTATATCTTGCTAACAAATTAACCGAAAAGGTTATATTAGGACTTGTAGTGTTTGCAAGATACATTAGTGCACCAATTGCACTAAGATATGGTACTTCAGGACCAAGAATTTCCTCATTCTTTTTCTTGAGGTCGAAATGGATCTTTACTCACACAAGTGATCGAACAACCATTGAAGTACTTAATGGGTGTGCTTCATCCATATAAAATCTTTTCAATACCTTTTCTGTGTACGCAGATTGATGAACAAAAATACCGTTTGTCAAATGCTCTATTTGCAAATCAAGACATAATTTTGTCTTTTCGAGATCTTTCATCTCAAATTCGTTCTTTAAATAATCGATTGCCCTATGAAGTTCCATTGTAGTTCCAATAAGATTTATGTCGTCGACATAAACAACAAGTACAACAAATTTTGATATTGTTTTATTTATAAACACACATGGGCAAATCTCGTCATTTATATAACCTTTCTTAGATAAATACTCACTAAGACGGTTATACCACATGCGTCTAGATTGCTTCAAACCATACAATAATCTTTGCAATCTAATTGAGTACATTTCCTGAGACTTTGAACTGTATGCTTTGGGCATTTTAAATCCTTCAGGAATTTTCATGTATATCTCATTATCGAGTGATCCATAAAGATAGGCTTTAACCGCATCCATCAAATACATTTCAAGCCTCTCATGGATCGTGAAACTAATGAGATAACGCAATGTTATTGCATCCATAACGGGTGAGTATGTCTCTTCATAATCGACGCCAGGCCTTTGAGAAAATCCTTGTGCAACAAGGCGTGCTTTGTACCTTTGTACTTCATTTTTCTCATTCCTTTTCTGCATAAAACCCCATTTGTAGCCAACAGGTTTAACACCATTAGGTGTTTGTACTATAGGCCCAAAAACTTTGCGCTTGACAAGTGAATTCAATTCTCATTGAATTGCTTCTTGCCATTTTGGCCAATCATTTCTTTGTCGACATTCTACAACAGATTGAGGTTCAAGATCCTCACTATTTTGCATAATTTTTTATGCAACATTGTATGCAAAAACATAATCCATCGCTATTTCTGATCGATTTCGATTTATTTCATCATCACTTGATTTTATGGATAGTTCATTATTTTCTTGAGTCTCAAGCTCATTGATCCCTTCAAGGATACCAGAATTACTCACATCTTGACTTTCTATGTGAGGTTTTTTCATAGTGTCATTTTGACCTTTTAATTTTCTTTTTCTAGGATTTTGATCCTTTGAACCTAATGGTCTACCACAATTCAGGCGTGCTTTTGACTCATTAGCTATGACACTAGTAGATGGTCCTACAGGGACATCAATTCAAATTGGGACATTCTTTGCAGGAATATGTGATTTAGTAATCCTTTTCAAATCTGTAAATGCGTCTGACATTTGATTTCCAATTTTCTGCAAATGAATGATCTTTTGTACTTTTTGCTCACAAATGGAAGTATGGGGATCAAGCTGAGACAATGATGGATTTTTCCACAAAATTTCTCCTTTAATTTCACTATTTTCTCCCCCTAATTTTGGGAAAAGTGTCTCATCAAACCGACAATTTGCGAATCTGGCTGTGAACAAATCTCCAATTAGTGGTTCAAGTTAGCGAATAATAAAAGGTGATTCAAACCCAATATATATTCCTAACCTTCTTTGGGGGCCCATTTTAGTGCGATATGATGGTGCTACTGGCATATATACAGTGCGTCCAAAAGTTCTTAGATGAGATATATTGGGTTGTTGACCCAAAACCAATTGCAATGGGGAAAACTAATGATAATTTGTCGGTCTGAGAAGAATAAGTGCTGCAGCATGCAAAATTGCATGACCCCACACAGAAGTGAGTAACTTAATTTTCATAAGTAATGGTCTTGCTATCAACTGCAATCGTTTAATTAATGACTCAGCCAGACCATTTTGAGTGTGAATATGAGCTATAGGATGTTCAACTCTTATCCCAATAGATAAATAATAATCATTAAATGTCTGGGATGAAAACTCTGCAGCGTTATCAAGGCAAATGGACTTAATCTGATTATCAGGAAGCTGTGCCCGTAATCGTATTATTTGTGCCAATAATTTTGTAATGGTCAAGTTGCGAGATGACAGTAGGCACACATAAGACCATTTAGAAGAAGCATCTATCAAGATCATAAAATATCTAAATGGCCCACTTGGTGGGTGAATAGGTCCACAAATGTCCCCATGTATACGTTCCAAGAACGCAGGGGACTCAATTTTGACCTTTGTTGGTGATGGTCTCACAATTAACTTGCCTTGATAACATGCATTACAATAAAATTCACCATTTAAAAAAATTTCAAGTTCTTTAATGGATGCCCATTTGAATTTTCTATAATTTGTCTCATCATTATGGACTCAGGATGTCCACGAAGGTATTGGAATTAGTAAACCCCCGATTTACTATAGAATGTGCCTCAATTGCACTAATTTTTGTCCAATACAATCCAGAAGATAAGGCTGTGAATTTTTCTACAACATATGTCTGCCCGGAGACATTTTTGGTTATACCAAGATATTCAAGATTCATTTCATCAATTGTCTTGATATGATAACCATATTCATGAATATATTTGAAACTCAATAAGTTTCTCCGAGACTGAGGAGAAAACATAACATTATTTATTATGAGTTTAGTTCCCTTGGGTAAAATTATAATGGCTCTTCCGATGCCCTTGATCAAATTAGCACTACCATATATCGTAGTAACATTGATATTGCCCATATGTAAATGAGAAAAATATTTCTCATTTTTGAATATCGTGTATGTTGTACCAGAATCAATCAAGCAAATATCTTCATAATTTGATAATTTGCTTGGAGAATTATCCATATCTTCAAAAGTAATGAAATAAATTTATATTAAATCATTAATTATCTTTTATTAAATAATTTATAAAATATAAGAAATAATGGAAGTGTTAAAATGACATTTGAATCATTATAATGATCATGTACTAATAATGCACAAGATCTTTATCACCCAAACCTTTAACACTAAACTTTAGTTTAGTTTATTATGTCTAAAATAAGTATTAACATAATTTTTAATTTCTTGAAAGACATGACAAAAGAAAAAGTTGATTTTCCACTTACTTTATTTAGATAGTGCATTTACTTTCACTTTAAATATAACACTATATGTTTCCTTTTATAGTCACAAAATGATAAGAAGAAAATATTATCTTAATATATTTCAATTCATCTTCAAATCATTATAACATTCCAACTCACGTTTCCATAGATGTTTTAAAATGGACTCAATTAATATACATGGATAAACATGAGTACTTTAATTATTTATTTTTCACATTATGACCAGTACAAAACAACAAATATTAATAACATTATTACTAGCAAATATCAATCATGATTATTCTTCCATATCCATAGAATCGTCACCAATTAAGTGATATATATTTTTCCTTCAGGGTGTGTGAAGAAATTTGCTACATCCAAGTGTGTGATGTCAACATGATCAGTGATAAAATTAGCTTCAGGATTTTTATCCTTCTTTCTTAGTGATGCTTGGTAAAGCTCAACCAAGTGTTTAGGAGTACAATAATCACATGCATAATGACCCCTTCCACCACATCGAAAATAGTTTGTTTTAACTGTTTCATACTTCTCATCTTTACTTTTTCCCTTTTGATAGTGATTTTTATTTGGTGAATGATTAACACCGGGAAAAGGATTTCGCTCTTGGTCGTAATTACGACCACGTCCACGTCCACGACCTCTTTCACGCCTAGCGTGGTGGGCGTACACCTCATTCACTTCATGAAATGGTGTAGATCCAGTGGGACGATTCTCATGATTTTTCATCAATAAATCATTATTTTGTTCAGCCACGAGAAGGTGAGAAATCAGTTCAGAATATTTCTTGAAACCTTTTCTTGATGTTGTTGCTGTAAAAGCACATTCGAGGCATGAAATGTGGAGAACGTTTTTTCCGTCATATCAACATCACTAACCGTATCTCCACATAATTTCAATTGAGAAGTAATTCTGAACATGATAGAATTGTACTCATGGATAGACTTAAAGTCTTGTAGCCTTAAATGCAACCAATCATATCGTGCCTTTGGATGAATGACCATCTCCAAATGGCATATCTTTCTTTTAGATTATTCCACAGAACGAGTGGATCCTTGACTGTGAGATATTCAATTTTTAAAATTTCATCAATATGATGACGTAAGAATATCATTGCTTTAGCATAGTCTTGTTTCAATGCTTTATTTTCAATTTTAATGGTGTCTCCAAGACCCATTGCATCCAAATTGATTTCAGCATCCAGTACCCATGAAAAGTAGTTCTTGCCCGAACTATGAAGGGCACGAACTCAAGTTTGGTAAGATTAGCCATAATAAAAAGAAGAAAAATAATAATACCTTAGCCTTCAAATTTAGTCTTCAAACTTTGAGATGATAGAGTCTTGTGCTGATAACATGTTATAAAATAAAGACTAAGTACTAAAATTAAACTAATAACAACCAAGAAAGGAAGAATATATTAGAGAGATAAAATAGAAAACTTTGTATCTTTCTTATTTTCTGTGTTTTTCCATACAAGTTACAATGCCTTTTATAGGCATAAAAAAGGTATAATGGACATTCATTAATCCATTTACAACAAAAAGTTAGAATTTCAAATTGCTTGCTATTTTAATAGTGACTGGATTGGATCTGACGGTATAAAAAGTACCTTTTGATAATGCTTCATTTTTGGATTAGGGTTTTTCATTTTGGGGTCGGGTCAAATTTAGCTATTTTTTTGGAAAGTTCATTTTTAAAATTATTAGGAAAAAGACATAAATTCATCCCTAAAGTTGTTTCGAAAAGTCAGTTACACGCTTAAACTACTGGAGCGACCTATTACACACTTATACTATTCAAAAGTGAATTTAATACCATCCTCAAAGCTGACGTGGAAATAAAACTAAATATAAATAAATAAAGTGCGTTTGAGTTTTAAAAAAGTCAATTTTTCCCCGCCCTTACCCGTCTCCTTCATGTCACCCTACCTTTCTTCTCCACTCGATCTCGTCAAACGTAAGATACAGGTCTCACTCTTCCCCCTTACCGATTCAATTTCATTTGCGCTTTGAGTTACAGATCTGTCCATTTCTCACGTGATCCTTCACTTCTCAAATCTATTAGAAAAATGTGTTGTTCTAATTTTGTTCTTATAGTTTATCTATACTCTTCTGACTTCTAAAAATCTATATTTTTAATGTAACCATTTTACAGGCACAAGTGTTTTGGTTGTTTCTCTATGATGGAGGAAGACACCTTATTATTTTTTATTTAAGATTTTAACTGGAAAATTATTGTTTCAGATCTTATTCTTTGTCCAGATGTAATAATTTCTATCATTCCCTTTGATTTTCTCGACCATGAAAGGAATGTCTCCTCTCGATCTCGTCAATTGTAATAATTTTTTGTGGTGGGTTTGGAGATGAGTGATAAAATTAGTGATGATATGCCTTTTAATTTCAATAATGACAATAAAATTTGTAATTTTGATGTGGATGCTGAAATTTATGGTTCTAATTGTGATGAATTTCAATGGTAGTGATGTGGTTCCGATGGTGAATTAGTTAAGTTTATTATTGTTGTTATCAATTTTTTATGATGGTAGTGGTTGTGGGAAGATTCCGGTGGTGAATTTGGCTATGGGTGGTGAAATCTATGATGGTGGAGAAGTGAATTAGGTGATAATGGCAACATTAATGGCGGTGGTTTAATGGTGGGTTTGATGGTTCATAGGAAAGAAGAAGCAATTAGGTGACATGATTTTTTTTTTTGAAATCTGACGTAATTATTGATGTGGCAGTGACACGGTGGTGATGTGGCGCGAGTGTGAGACACTCTCCCATCATGTGATGGTTGTATGTACATCAGGGTTGAAATAAATTCTCTTTTAAATAATTCAGGTATGTAATAGATTGTCACAATAATTTAAGCGTGTAACTGACTTTTCGTAATAAGTTCAGGGGAAATTTATTTCTTTTCCCAAATTACTATTCAAGTAGTTGCTATGGTTGTTCCTAGTTTTAGATACGGTGTTAGCATGTTCATAGCCACTTTATTCTATCATTCAATGTGCATTTCATGTATTTAAATTTGAAGTCAAAGGTGAATAAAAATCAGATTTCCCAGTCAATTTTATTTCTTCTTTCTTTTGCAATTCCAACTTAAAGGCAAAGGTACACACAACAAAATACATGACATACATACATTAAATGATATGCACTTAATTACAAATAATCATTAAGACGAAGACGATTTCCAATATCCTTGTATAGGATAAGATTGATCGACCTACATTTATTAACATAATACCAGTGAGACACCAATACTTCAACGCGAAAATAATAACTTTTATATCTCCACAATGATCTTTCCGGTGGCATGTCCATCAAGGCTCTTGGCCCAAGCATCTTGAGCCTTGCTTAGAGGATACTTAGAGTCAAACATAGTCTTTAACTTCCCTTCTTTCACCAAATTAACAAGCAATTTCAGTTCCTTATCTTCTTTAGGGATAAAAATCAACGGCAATAACTGTTTTTTGGAGAATGTCAATTTCTTCCATACATAAGTGTACATTGAACTAGGCCCAGGAGTAAGATCAATGACCTTACCTGCGTCACTCAAATTAGGCTCAAATGTTGACCAGGGAATGCCTCTAGCACAGTGAACCACTACATCATACTTTTTTCCTGATGGACTCTTAAGAGTTGCTCCTTGTGGCGTTTTATAGTCAAGAACCTCATCTGCTCCTAAACTCTTTACGAATTCAATGTTACGAGCTCCACATGTTCCTGTAACATGAGTATTACCCAACTTTGCTAATTGAACAGCATAATGTCCAACACCACCTGAGGCAGCAGTGATAAGAATGTTCATACGCGTTCCACTTCCGTCTAGCTTGATTCCAGAAATATCAACAAGGGCTTTGTGTACTGAAATAGCAGCAACTGGAAGGCCTGCACCTTCAGCAGCTGATATTTCTTCTGGCCTTTGAACAGTCAAGCTCTCCTTTGCAACTGCATACTCTGCCAATCCACCTCCAATCTGTTAATATATAGTATTAGAGTTTATATTATATATGTGCATCGACAATGCAATGAATTTCTACACTATCAAATTAATTAGTTGACCTACAATTACATATAACTAACAAATCAATTAAACAAATTAGACTTACAAATAGATTAAGAAGAGCCACAACTTTGTCACCAGCCTTAAATTTCACAACACTTGATCCAACCTCTACAACTTCTCCAGCTACATCCGTACCTACTCCTCACTCACAAAGATACATTATTAAAAATACAAAAACAATATATAAATGATGAGCAAGAAGTTATTATTTAACTGCACTTACAAGGTATAACGGGAAATTTGCGAGGAACAAAAGGACGAGCCACACCTTTCTGAAATTTCAAGTCTAATGGATTTAAACTTGTAGCCTCCAATTTTATCAAGACCTCATCCTTGTTCGGAGTAGGCACTAGAACTTCAACATGCTGCAACAAGAAATGACAAATCTATCATGTGATGACGGTGTAAAACATGTTACATATTTATAGAATGGTACGGTGTTACTTATAAGATGAAATTTCATCCAAAACTGAATATGGATGTATAGGAGAGTAAGTACCTTCAATCCATCAGCTCCTCTTCCATAAGAGTTGTACTGCACGGCGCGCATTAGCTTCCCTGACATACCTCCGGCTATATATTGTTTTCGCTAATTAATTTTGTTTACGTACTCTGATCCTCCTAGCAGGTGTATTTAAACTTAGATTGGGGACGAATTTTATGCGTTTGCATAGTTGAAAAGTGGTGCAAAGTTAGCCTTTGCTACTACTTGTCTAGGTGAATTTTCATATTTGTGTAGTCGTGGCTTAACAATTGTCACTTGTTAGTAGACCAATCTAATGCATTAACAAGTTGAAAATTGAAATATTCTCCTTGTTCCCGTGTTTGAATTGTGTGTTATGATTGCATGATTAAGAAGGAAATATTCCATTTTGTTGAACAAAGCAGTTATAATGTTTGAAACTTTTTAAGTAATGGATTCTTTATTTCAATTTTGATTTGATACAGAGTTTATGACAAATAAAAAATATTTTTGGATCTTATCATCTTAAACTAATGATAAATAGAATTCACCAAAAATATTCTTTAATCTTATACGTGTCATATAAAAAGTTAGAATTAAAGAGTTACCAAAAATGAATGACGCATTTATTTTGAAAATCAATTATAAATGAAAGTAAGACATACAAGTTAAAATGAAAACCACCTAAAATTTGAGATTTGTGCTGGCGTTTCATGTGGCCTAAATTTGAGTTAATTAATATAGTGGTGGTCAACTTCACAAAAGTCACTCATTCTGCTCATTGCATTAATACAAATCCACTGAAAATATGACATTGTAATATAAAATATCAGGGCACTACAACAAATTTGATATTTGGTGATTAATTATTTTCACTAAAATATTTAATTCATCATTGTATATCTTTTTCGATAAAGTTTATTTTTATCAATCCTTCATATCATGGATCACTGTTAGGGGGTGCAAAATCGAATCAAAAATTGAATTAAATTGTAATTTTTTTTAAAAAAATTGACTAATAATTTTATTTGACTTGGTTTGAATTTTTTTTTTTAAATCTGACTATATTTGAGTTGGTTTGATTTTAACTAAAAAAAAAAGTCAAGCCGATACCAAATCAATCCGACATTATATATATTTTAAAATTTACTTCATACATAAAAATATTTTCTTTTTTTGGTAACTAATTTGATTTTATTACCAAAGTGGAAGTTAAAGAGCATAAGAAACAGTACTGGACAGCCCCAGCACTATTCAGCAAAGGGTCACAATTACAACATGTAAAGGCCTAACTTTTCATCTCCCAAGGATAGTAGTCAAATGCATTTAGCTTTGGTCTGAAACGGGGGAAACCAGCAGCTCTACAGTGGATAGTTTGAATGATTTCTCGCAAGAGTGCTTTGGGATATCTTTGTTTCATCTGGAAGATCTTGGTATTCCTCTCTTGCCATAGTGAATACAAGCAGCATGCTAGGGACAATCTGTATAAGCTCGTCTGCGATGATTTACCTTTTGCATAAACAATTGCCCAACTTAGCTCATCCTTCCATTCCATTGAGCATCTCTGTATGTCCATCCATTGTAGCATATTGCAGCAAAAAATGGGCATTCACAGAAAATGTGATCTACCCTCGTCTATATTGGTACATAACACACATGAGGTATCAGTAATAGTGTTTCATCTGAGTAGTCTATCTCTGGTCAACAATCTCTTCGAAGTAGCTAGGAATAATATAAACTTCCATTTTGGGGCGCCATGATTGTTACACACTAGCCTTCTCCAGTCTACTTTGGTATAAGTTCCCCTCAACTTATAGTATATTAGCTTTGTACTGAACTTATTTATAGCAACCACTTCTTGCTCATTATATCCTTCAGCTTCAAAACTATCCTTGGCTTTAAGAACCATCTTTATCATCCAAGATGCTTGGGGGCATTTGTATGTCAGATAGACCCCCCCCCCCCCCCCCCCTTGATATAATATGCATGGATCCATAATCTATCTTCCTTCAAGCAAAGGTTCCATAGATTTTTGCAAATTATAGCTCTGTTCTAGTCTGTAATATCCAGGAATCCCAGTCCCCCTGCTGCTTTTGAATTGCATAATTTCTCCCATGCTATCAGTGATGTCTTTGTAGTGGTAGCTCCTCCAGACCACAAGAAATTTTTACACAATAATGTTGCCACTTGGATCACCTTTTTTGGAAGGATGAAAACTTGCGTCCAAAAAACTTGGATAGAAATTAAGATAGTTTTGATCATCTGCACCCAACTTGCATATGACAAAAATCTAGATGTTCAGGATTCTATCCTATCCAGCATCTTATCTAGTAGTGGTTTATGTGGATAATGGTTGTCTTCTTTGATGTGAGAGGGATGCCAAGATATTTGAAAGGAAGGATACCTTTGCCAAATCTCAACCTCTATAATATTACTTCCTGTTCAGCCTTTGGTACACCTCCAAAATAGATAGAGCTCTTCTCATTGTTTCCTACCAGACTAGATGCATTAGAGAATACATTAAAACATTCATAGAGCTTGAGAAAAAATGTTAGATCACCTCTACTGAAAAGTAGTAAGTCGTCAGCAAAGCCAAGATGTGTGATGGACAACTTCCCACACTTGGGATGAAAGTTAAAATCGGGTTTGTTCTTCAAAGTTTGTAGTTGTCTAATCAAGTATTCCATAGACAACACAGAGATGAGGGAACAGAGGATCACCCTGTCTAAGGACCTTTTTTGCATTGAACGGGACAGTAGGCACACCATTAATGAGGATAGAGTAAGATATTGTGGTAACACATGTCATAATCCAATTCACAAATAGAGGTGGAAAATTCATAAATTCAGTACCTGCTCTAGAAAAGGCCATCCAATGGAATCATAAGCTTTCTTCATATCAATCTTCATCATGCATCTAGGGAAGATATGCTTCCTTCCATACCACTTGATGAGTTCATGGCTCATGATAATGTTATCAGTGATCACTCTCACTGAAACAAAAGCAGATTGACTAGCATGAACGAGCCCATCCATTGCCACTCTCATCCTAGTGGTTAGAACCTTTGAGATGAGCGTATAGAGAATAGTACAACATGATATTGGCCTATATTCAATGATCTTAGTTGGGTTCTTGACTTTAGGAATCAGTGTTATAGTTGTGCAGTTTATGGTCTTAAACATTTTTCTAGTTGAGAAGTATTCCAAGACAGCATTTGTGACCTCCTCGCCTATGACTCTCCATGCTTTCTTGAAGAAATAAGTGTTGTAACCATCACATCCTGGTGTTTTTGAGTCCTCTATCCCTTTGAATGCCTTTAGAACTTCATCCTTAGTAACAGATTCAATGAGCTTCATTTGATGTAGTCTATCCAGTATAGGGTCATTTCTCATCATGTTTGGATTTACCGCAGTAAGTGTGTAGCTGCAGTTCCCAGCAGACCTCTGTAGAAGATTATTATCTTATTTGTGACCTCATCTTGTCTGAGGAGGACAATACCAGCAGATGTAGTGAGACTCTTGATTCTGTTCTAGGATATTCTAGATTTCATGCTAGCAAAAAAATGAGTTATTTGCGTCTCCTGACATTAGCCAAGTCATTCTAGATTTCTGCTTTAAGATACTCTCAGCAACGTTGTCCTTTTTTTCTAGTAGTAGCTTAATGCCCTTCTCCTGTCTAAAAAGATCGTGATCATGCCTAGGATGTCTCATGATGGCTTGGATATTGTCCAGCTGTTGTCTCAGACAATGGCGGATCCAGAATTTTATGGCTATGGGTGCTCATTATTAGGGGTGTGCATCGGTCAGTTCGGTTCGGTTTTATGTATTATCATTCGGTTTATTGCGATTTTCGGTTTTTAAATACGTTAAACCAATAACCAAACCAATAAGAGATTTTTTATCGGTTTGTCGGTTTTGGTTCTTAACGGTTCGATATTCGGTTTAACCAATAAGAAAATAAATATATGACTTCTCTAATAAATTTGACGCGACAACACATTAATGTAATGAAAAACTATACGAGTGTAACACAAAGAGATATTAAGAGGAACAAAGTTCTTACTTTAGATTTGGACGTTTTGTATAATGTGAAGTTGTGAACTAAAAGTCACTTTGAAGTGTGAATTGAAGGCTAAAGAATAAAGACAGTAATAACTAGTAAGGTATTGAGATTAATATATAATATTTATGTACAAGTAAATGTAGTAAATTACTAATTTTAATGGGTTATCGGTTCACCCAATAAGTCAATATTAAAAACTAATACTGAACCGATAACCCAATATTTTTTTTTATAAAACCATTAAAAAACTGTTAATCCAATAACCCAATAACAATAAATCAATATCATTTTTTTTTTGTTCGATTTATCGATCAGATTGATTTTTTACACCCCTACTCACTATTTTTAATGTAAACTTCTATCAACCAAAAAGCTTAATTACAAGTCAATTTTCCTTTTTTTTAAAAGTAAAATAGCAGGGCAATTTTTTTTCATTTCAATGCAATATTATTTGGATTGGTTTAAGAAAAAAGGAAAAGGAGAAGCAATATACTTTTACAGCTAAATAAAGAATGTTAGAAAAAAACAAAGTAAAAGAGTAAAACATGAGAAAGAAAAAAAAGGAAAAAGAAATGTTTTGATGGAGAATCGAACTCACCTGCCACCCTAAATACACCTTCATTTCAAGTTGTAAACCAGAGGCGCCATCCGGCTTTATGTTCAATGGGTGCTCGCCATCATTTATATAGTAATATTGCTATTTTTATACTTAAATATGTATTGCTCGAGTCGAGGTTAATGGGTGCTCAAGCACCAATAACATACTACATGGGTCCGCCCCTGGTCTCAGAGTGTTAAGTTGATCATCCACTCCTCTGAATGCTTTGGTGTTAATCAGTTTGAGGCCATGCTTTATTAGTTTAAGACTTTTCCAAACACTTTTCATATACCCCTCTCTTCTACTATGAAGCCACCCTCTCTTCATGATCAGCTATAAAATTCAAGAATCTGAAAAGGTTTTAGGTATTCATAGTTTTCCATAGCAATTTGAACTCTAAGTGGAGAATGGTCTGAAAATTTTGGGTCCATAACGTGGACAT